TGGCTGAACACCTGCCTGCCGATGGGAAGGAGTGAATGAATTCCTTGTTTTGCTTTGCTTGCGTGCGCAGCTTTTGCTTTACCTATTAAACTGTCTTTATCTCAACCCACGAATTTTCTCTTTTACCCTTCTGATTCTCTCCCCCATCCCACTGGGGAGGAGTGAGCGAGCGGCTGTGTGGGGCTTAGTTGACAGCTGAGGTTAAACCACGACAGCATCTCCAAGGAACCGGAAACCAATATAACAGAAAATATGAGATCTCTCAGAAACTTTTTTCTTTACAAATGTCTGTTTGCATTAACTTTTTGGAACTATATCAGCCTGTCTATGGCAAATGAACTCTTTAAATCTGTTTCTAACGATTTTCTGGAAGATGGTTCTGACAAAAAAATCAAGAGCCTGCCACTCCTGTATACAAATAGTCATCAGTCCAAAGCTAATTTTGACTGGGTTGTGATACAAAATACTACAGAAAGCCTGTCATTGTCAGAAATCACAAATGACAATGTAAAAAAATTAGTAGCTTTATTATCTAATTTCAGACAAGGCTCCAGGTTACAAAATCTGACACTGACAAATATGTCAGTGGACTGGAATGCTCTTACTGAAGTTTTTCAGACTGTATGGCACTCATCCATTGAATACTTCAATATTAGCAGTCTAACACAATTGTCGGACATCAAAAGCTGTGACTTTGACTATTCAGGTACCTCTATGAAAGCATTGACAATAAAGAAAGTTTTAATCACAGATCTGTACTTCTCACAGGATGACCTATACAAAATATTTGCAGACATGAATATCGCAGCCTTGACAATAGCTGAATCAGAGATGATACATATGCTGTGTCCTTTGTCTAACAGTCCCTTTAAATACTTAAATTTTTCAAAGAATGATTTAACAGATCTTCTTTTTCAAAATTGTGACAAATTAATTCAACTGGAGACATTAATCTTGCAGAAGAATAAATTTGAGAGCCTTTCCAAGGTAAGCTTCATGACCAGCCGTATGAAATTGCTGAAATATTTGGACATGAGCAACAACTTGCTGAGTCACATTGCAGCTGACGTGCAATGCCGGTGGGCTGAGTCTCTGACAGAGTTGGACCTGTCCTCAAATCAGTTGACGGATTCCGTGTTTGAGTGCTTGCCAGTCAACATCAAAAAACTCAACCTACAAAACAATCAGATCACCAGTGTCGCCAAGGGGATGGCTGAGCTGAAATCGCTGGAGGAGCTGAACCTGGCATCGAACAGGCTGGCTGACCTGCCGGGGTGCAGTGGCTTTATGTCCCTGGAGTTCCTGAACACAGAGATGAATTTGATCCTCACCCCATCTGCCGACTTCTTCCAGAGCTGCCCAAGGGTCAAGGAGCTACAAGCCAGGCACAACCCGTTCAAGTGTTCCTGTGAACTGCAAGACTTTATTCGTCTGGCGAGGCAGTCTGGGGGGAAGCTGGCTGGCTGGCCGGCGGCATATGTGTGCGAGTACCCGGAAGACTTGCGAGGAACGCAGCTGAAGGACTTCCACCTGACTGAACTGGCTTGCAACACGATGCTCTTGCTCGTGACAGCTCTGCTGCTGACGCTGGTGCTGGTGGCTGTCGTGGCCTTTCTGTGCATCTACCTGGATGTGCCGTGGTACGTGCAGATGACGTGGCAGTGGACGCAGACGAAGCGGAGAGCTTGGCACAACCACCCCGAAGAGCAGGAGACCGTTCTGCAGTTTCATGCGTTCATTTCCTACAGCGAGCGCGATTCATTGTGGGTGAAGAACGAGCTGATCCCGAACCTGGAGAAGGGGGAGGGCTGCGTACAACTGTGCCAGCACGAGAGAAACTTTATCCCTGGCAAGAGCATTGTGGAGAACATCATTAACTGCATTGAGAAGAGCTACAAGTCGATCTTTGTGTTGTCTCCCAACTTTGTGCAGAGCGAGTGGTGTCACTATGAGCTGTACTTTGCCCATCACAAATTATTCAGTGAGAATTCCAACAGCTTAATCCTCATTTTACTGGAGCCGATCCCTCCGCATATTGTCCCCGCGAGGTATCACAAGCTGAAGGCTCTCATGGCAAAGCGAACCTACCTGGAGTGGCCGAAGGAGAGGAGCAAGCGTGCCCTTTTCTGGGCTAACCTGAGGGCAGCTATTAGTATGAACCTGCCAATGGCTGATGGACAGTGGTGTGGGGAAACGGATTAAGAATCTTTCTAATGGTTTTTCTTCTGTTTTTTTTCTTGGTGAAGCAATAAATACTTTATGATTTCTATTGGTTGTCAATGTATTTAACTTTTTGTTACAGAGTCTTGTTTCTACATAGTTGTCTATGCTGCATCCTAACTGTAGGCAAAATTCAACTCACCTTACTGGAAGTCTTTTGAGGTTGATACAGAGACAGCAAATCACAAATGAGTTTGGATGTGGATTTTGAAATACAGCTTGAAATACTGTAGTGAATTTTTCTCAGCAGAATAAAATCTGGAGCAGTTGGTATAGTCATGTGGAAGAGTGCTTGAGTTGCTGGAGAGTTTGCAGAGCTGCATTAATCACAAGACTTAGGCAGCTTGGTCACGGGATCTCTTTTGCTAAAATTAGTTTGCAGGAAAGAAAATTACGCATCCTGAGAAGACGTCTAGAAGTCCAGAGCTTGAGATGGTTCCTGGGTAGTGTTCTCAGATTCAGTGAAGCTTAAAAGGATAGGACCCAGATACAGGACTCTCTGAACATCCAGCACAGGTGGACAAAAATGGCCATGCCACAAAAGAGGACTGAGTGAGGAAGAAAGGTTTTGGGTTTTTTTCTTAAAAAAAAGAAAATAATAATAAAAAGGAAGGACGAGCTACTTCACCTTTTGGCGCTTATGGTTTGGCACTGCTGCAAGGGAGAAGCAGTGAATTGACAGTCAGAGCTCTAATTCCCATCCTCTGATAGAGTCCTGGTACCACTTTGATCCTGAGAGATACCCTGACAGGAGCGACTGAGGGGGTATCTGCAGTAACATAACTGCCTTCATTATCATTGGCTATATCTTGAGAAACTCTTGACTTTTCTACATCCTGCTTTTTTTTTTAGCTTCCTACTTTTTTTTTTCCTCACCCATATATCTTACTTTATGCTTATTATTAAAAGAATCTGTCCTTTTCAGCCAAAACAGTATCTTTTGCAGCGCAGCACGAGTTCTGATCAGAAAGGCAATAACCAGTCAGAGGCTGAAAAAATACGCCAGGTCTTGGGACAGCAGGTAAGACCCCCTATTCACAGAGTCAGAAAGACAAGCTACCTTTACAATATTGGCTGTCCTTTATAGAAATACAGCAGGCCCCGTTACCTGTACTTGTGCTGTTTTGCCTTCAAGAAAACATGGCTGGGCTCCGACAAATATTCACAACTGCTGAAGATGATCACAGCAAACTTCCTCTTTGCCCCCAGAAGGGCAGGTGTTTGCCGTCTGGAACACCAGACTTAAATGGCCAGCAAGCAGGAAGTTTTCCTTTCAAAAATGCGTTTCAACATGAAGATGAGAGAAGAAGGGATGTTAAGAGGAAATCCTCATTTAGTATAGAATGTTTGCATTTTATCTCATTCTTGTCTTCCATTATTATTAAAAAAAGATTTTAATTTTGATTTTTTTTTGCCTGAGGTCTAAGCAGGCTGAGGTCTCTTGACTTGAAGTCTTGAACTGTCAGTGGCTGTTTAATGATTTGTAGGGGAAAGGTCAAATTTAACACCTTTAGCTCTCTCATCCCACTTAGCCTCAAAATTAATATAACACACCTATTACCAAATTGCAGGCATTTAATTCAGGACTGCAGAAAGAAATCTTTTTCCTCCTTCCCCTCCAACTAATGCTTCAGTATATGACTCATTGAACCCTTAGAAAACTGAAGATGAACAGACTTAACTTGGTTTGCCTATCCGTTTCACACAACCAGGGATGGCTGGATACTTATACAGTGGCTTGCTTGAAAATTTTCTTCGAAAGCCTCAGAGTTTTAGGTCAGCAGCCCTTGAAACTTCTGTAATACAGTTAACATCCCCTGTTGTGTGTGAAGCTTTAAGAACTCATATGACTTCTTCTGTTGGCTGGAGGACAGAGAAACCGTCTGAAAGAGAGTGCACCAGGAACCCTTCCTGTTACTCACGTGGGAGCACACATCTGTTGCCAGAAATTATTTCAGGAGTGGAAGGTTTTAGCAGGGTTTAGACCGTGTCAGCCACTTTACCTGCACATTTTGGAAAGTAGCTACCACCTCTAGAAAGTAGCTACCAGCTCACATCACCCTGGTGATATGAGTCTGCAACTGGTTCTGCACTGGAAGCTGTAACTGCTAATGCACTCCAGGTATCAGAAAAAGGGAGTATGTAAATATATTCTGATGTCAGATACTGTATCAGAGCAGATTCCTGGCATTTGACTAGTCATCTTGGTGACTAGCAGGAATGCTATTTTTACATACCTAATAATAACAACATGGAAAACTGATAACATGGGGGTTAAACACCCTCCAAAACCTAGAAAATATGCAGAATGAAGTGCAAGTGTAAATGTGTTTATGTGTATTTCAGTAGTGTGTAGTATAAAGGAAACTGAACTGTGACAGCCTGGGAGTCCTGATGCAATGTGGGTTGCCCTGCTGAGAGCTCAGCTCTTTTTTAGCTTTGGAAATGTTACAAAGCATCAGCACTGAAGCTCAACTGCAGAGGGTTAGAGCAGGGAAAGGCACTTGAGGGAAAAGAATGGGACTCCATGGGAAATGAGGCATTCTGCTGAGGGGAAAGGTTCAAAACCTCTGTGAAACCCATGTTTTTACTCAGGGCTTCAGTTTGGCTGTTTTTTCTTTCAGAAACATTTACTGAGATTGACTATAATGCTAATTTGTAGTCACTGTTCAGTCAAGAGGAAGCAGTATTGATAAACCAATAAATGAGAAAGTTCTGTATTCTGCAGGGTGGCTCTGTGTTACCAGTTCGATTTCTGCAGCTTTGATCCTTGTGTCTGTTTATGTCCAAGCAAAATAGGCTTGGTCATAAATGCGATACAATCTCTGCTCATTTTGACTTGTGGTGGCATTTAGCCCTTGTTTCACCTACCTGACCCACAGGGTTAAGTTGTGACAATGAGAGTTGCAGTTGAAGATAAGGTCCTCGTTATGACCACACTGGCTTTGCAACTTTTAATAATTGTATTAACTTTTTATGAGTGCTTGGATGAGTCCCTCTGCTCTGGCTGTGTTTTAACTCGGTGTTTTGCACATGTAAGTTCCCTTCTGCAGTTCCAGTTGGAGAGATTCTTCACACCTTTGGGCATAGTGCTGGCCCTAAAATAGCTTCTGGTACCCAGCCAAGTGTAGCTGCAGTTCCTCTCTGGGTGAGTAATCACAACATACTGGCAGAAGTGTGAAATGTACCTTGAGGAAAGGCTGTTTGTGAAGATAGGTGCTCATTGATAGAATCAGCTACAAAAACCCGCAGCAATATGAACTTCAGAAATGGAACAAGGTATCTGCGTGAGCATACACACATGCTGACTATGGAAAGGATGGTATTTAGCTGGTACATTTCAGGATGCGTGAACAGAAATACACTGCTTTTTAGTTTTTGTGTATCATGCAAAACGACTTAATCAGTAAACTGAAACCAGCCCCAAGCACAGCTTTGCTAAACTGGTTAGTAAAAATAACATTATGCAATGTTCCTAAGGATGTTACAGAGGTATTCATGAGTATCAGTTTTATTTTAACTAGTTGCAGATTTTTCTTTATGACAAACTGTTTATTTTTATAAAGTCTCATAAAGAAGGGTGGTAAGGAAATGAAACATACTACAACTAAAGGTGTAGATGCTTTTGCTCTTTACAGCTCTGTGTGCACTGGAGTCAGTTCTGATGAAAGCTGATGGTGTATTTGATTTTGCCCATGCAACAAAGCTTTTTCAGGGATTATATGGACCTGTGTGGACCTGTGAAGGCCAAGTGCAAGGTCCTGCACCTGGGTTGGGGCAACCCCCGGTATCAATACAGGCTGGGGGATGAAGGGA